ACAGAGTTTGTGTCTGTGGTTTTTGTCTCTGTGGACGAGACGTTACACTATAATACCAAACATATGCAATCCTCTTCATCTTTGTGCCCATGCAGCTGTGTCACTGCAGCTGGATTTTTATAATTGTGTTGCATTCAGACACGTCTGTGATGGTCTGCTGCTGCATGTTGATGAACGAGATGGTGTTTGTGTAGGCTTGTAATAGGAAACACGTTCTGGGGATAGTTCCATGATTGTATTTAGGTTTATCCAAATTACATTGGATTCTTTTTAGGTTTCAGTAACATCACTATTTTAATTGATGAAAAGTTTTTCATGCGTTTGTCTGAATTTTGTTAACAGTGGGTAATGTCCACATGTCAAATGTTTCATTATATTTTGTTCCTGGTTTTTAGTGTAAACTAACATTTCTTGTCTTTTTTATTATCCAGGCAAATCAATGTCATCTGATGACCATCAAAAGAGTAAGTTCATAGCAAATTTCTTAGCAGATAATAAAAAGAAAACACCCATGAGAAAGACAACAGTGGTTCTATTTCGACAAAAAATAAACAAACATATAATTAAATAAAACATGTATGCACTAGAAGCCATATCCACAAGTGTCCTATTGATTTGCATAGACTATGATTAATTTATTAGTTTTTACAAGATTTACATAATCATCTATTTCTTTTTGGTCAGCCTGTTATTACATTTGCATATTATTGGGCCTTTGTAGTTTTGCTGTTATGTCCAGTGTAAAATATGGGTCCTGCAGCAAAACCACTTGAGAACCACTGCACTATGATAATATGTAAGATCTATATATATTTTTAATTTATTATCTTCTTTCATGAAGTCTTCTTTGACAGTTCCTGCTTTCCCTCTCAGCAGGTGGAGGAGCGAAACCATCTTGTTTTATACACAAAACCACCCGGATTGTTGGGGGGATGCAGGTGCAGCGAGCAGAGGATGGAAGCTGGGTCGTCAGCATTCAAAAAAGGTACACATGTCCAATTTGATCAGTATTAAGTATTATTTTAATCTAATTCAACCTACTTAATTTAGAACAAATATGCAGATGAATCTGTGGTAGATAAATATTCAATACATTGAAAAAAGTTGTAGTTTCTTTTTAATAAAGTAGTAAAAATAAGTAATTTAGATGGTAACATCTAAATTAACTGGTTTTATTCAAATAAAAAATATTATATAACATCAATGAACTTAAATACATTAATTTATACCAACACAGCTGATTTTTATGGGTTAAATCAGGTAAAAATAGCTCTTTAATGTGACAATTGCAGGTTACAGCCTTTTACAATGTGCAATATTGCGTTGAAATTTAAGTTTGAATGAGAATCAGCACATGTTATTAAAAAATGCACTTTTCCTAAATATGCTTATTTGTATTGTACATGCTGAATTTATGTTTGAAGTCTTGGGGTAGGGGGTTACCACATTTGCACCTTTTTTTCTTTTCTTTTTTTCATTCTTTTTTTTTGGTGAAAAATGGCATTATGATTTAGAATATTTGGCTAATAGAACGGATTTTAGTATCTGGAAAATTCAGAAAAACTAACATGACATAACCTGAATAAGATGAGGGATGGTAATTCCTCTAGCCTTAACGACACATTCTGATTGGTTCTCCTCCCGCAGGAACAGACACTGGTGCGGAGGTTCACTCATCAGAGAGGATTGGGTTCTGACTGATCAACAGTGCTTCTCCACCTGGTAATCTATCTCAACTCCTCTAATAACCAGTCACTCTCTCTTGTCAATGCAAAGCACGTTTGAGTTTTCCTCCTCCTTGAGCGTGCAAGATTCTGGCCTGTCCCGGCCTTGTGTTCCCATCTGTCAGTTGATGTTTTCTACGAGACGTGCGGATCCACAGTTTCCGGTTTAGGAGAGAGTAGTGACAGATCTGTTCGGACTGTGACTGATGGTTCTCTGCTCTTGTCAGCGGTGCATCTGTTTAGACTCGGCGTTCGGCTGCGTGATATACGCCTGTGGATGTGCTTCAGTGACATTTGAGTGAAAACCTGCTGGCTCTGTTTAGTTTGAGGGAGGAAAAGGGGACAGAAGGAGAACGAGAGTGAGCGTGTCTGGCTTTTAGATCATCTCTACTTCCCCCAGATCCGCTCCCTGGTGGTTTCAGCTATCTTGTGCTTTGCATGAAGACACAGAACCGGGCTGGACGCTCGAAACTGACCTCTGCGCCTTGATCAGACCTGGAGATGAGCTTACCAGGAACGCTCTGCAACATACATATCTCATGCTTGTAGAAAGACTCTGCTACGTCTGCAATCCAGATTATATATTTCCAGAAGGCTAAAAATGACTTATCACCGTTCTACTCGGATACTTTAGTCGCATACTTTAGTTGTCATGACACTTCTGTGTTTGACATATATGCTTGTATGTTCCTCAGTGTTCCTGACCTCTCGGAGTACACTGTGCAGGTGGGGCTTCTTCATCTCAACGCGTCCGCCGACACGCAGGATCTCCGGATCGCACATGTGGTCTGCGGGCCCGAGGGATCCAACTTGGCCCTGCTCAAACTCACAACGTAAGTGCATTTATCCATCTGCCCATTCATCTTCTCATCCATCCAGCCATCCTTATGGTAACTCATAGTCTTATGCCCAGGCCTGCCCCTCTCTCTGAGCATGTGCGAACTGTGCAGCTTCCTGTCGCGGGCTGTGCTGTTGCAGAAGGCACTTACTGCCTCATGTATGGCTGGGGAGACACTAAAGGTACTATTCTGTTCTATTCTATTCTTTTCTATACAGCAACATTGTTTAGTGCTTTTAAATAGTTATGACATGTTCCTCTGGTTGTTATATGCAAAATAATTGAGTCTGAGGACTGAGGAAATGACTAATATTCAAGGTGCAATGCTCCATTGTTTATTATTATTTGCTGATTCCATTCTATTCAACTCTATTTTATTTAATTGTAATTTATTTTATTTTACTATTATATTTGCTCTTAGGCTACCTCAAAACTGTCCTGATATGTATTTTAGGGCTTTCAAAATTAATATATGAATATGTGAATTTTTTCACATGCATTCAATTTGATAACTATATATATATATATAGTTATTACAGATGTTGTGTATATATATATATATATACTATTTATGTGTAATAATATATTTGTTTGTTTTTTCCTTCCTTTTTCCCTCGAACTAGTGCTGAATAGTAATATTAATTTTATGATTTTAAATAATATTATATAATTAATACAATATTATATAAAAAATATATACAGTATATGGCAACACTTTAGTTTAGGGTCCAATTCTGACTATTAACTAGTTGCTTATTAGCGTGCATATTACTAGGATATTGGCTGTTTATTTGTACTCTTAAAGCACATATTAATGCATTGACATTCTGCATGACCACATCCTTCATCCTATACCCAATACCTAAACTTAACAACTACCTTACTGACTATTAATAAGAAGTAATTAGGAGTTTATTGAGGCAAAAGTCGTAGTTAATAGTTAGGTAATAGTGAACTGGAGCCTAATCTGAAGTGTGACCATAATTATTTAAATATTTTCCACCCAAGAATTTGCTTTATTAAAATGGTCAAATAAAATAGAAAAATATATAAAAATCTGAAAACCCCTGATCTGTTCTATTTGGTATTTGGTATTTACTTCAAAACACAGCTCTAATGCATTTAGATGGTCTTAATAATCACAATGACTTATGACATCTTTTATTCGTGTTTGTATCTTGTGGACAAAGAACAAGATACACAAATAAATATTTAATGTGACTCAGCATCATTAAAATACACACTTGAACAAACTAAACATTCTAAGCACATTCTGTTTAACCCATTTTTCCAAACCCGTGTTGAGTTATTTAGACACATAAGGCCAAATAAAGAAAGCTAATTGAACTTGCATGCAAACTTTCCAGACCATTACATTTCTATTAAAACTGACCCTTTGACCTCTCTGTTAGGCACGGGACATGAGGGCAGTCTGAAAATGGTGGGGCTTCCGATTGTCAGCAACAAAAGGTGTTCCCAAAGCCACAAAGGTATTCTGCCAATCACAGAGACCAAAATCTGTGCTGGAGGCAAGAGAGACCAGGGTGTTTGTGAGGTACGAGTCAGATCCTGATCATTGAGGAGTATCGTTTCAGAGGATGGTGTTTATTCTATGATTGTGACCTCTACTCTTCTCTATTCACCTCTTACAGAAAGACTACGGTGGCCCATTGGTGTGCCAGGAAGGAGAAAGCAAGGTCATAGTGGGTGTGAGCATCAACGGTCGTGGGTGTGCCGTCGCCAGGCGTCCTGCTGTCTTCGTCAACGTGGCCTTCTACTCTGAATGGATCCGCAAAGTCTTCAAATACTATTCGGACATGGAAATAAGTTACTAGACTGTTATATTTTCCAATGTGGGGATAATATACTCATGGCGCGTTATGGTTTTTAGCATCTACAACGTGAAGACCATGGTTGCTGGTGTACACAAAACTTGGAGGCCAGAGTTGTTGTTTTTTTAATTAAATGAAAACCACTGGTACAGAAAAAAGGTGCAAGACAAGATCATCTGATGTTCTCACAAACAAACTGTAAAAATCAGACATCAGACATTATTTTATTGTTTTAATACAACAAATGGAGGAAATTGCAACTTTTGAACTTTTTTTTGGCAGGAGATTGTTGTGGCTGGTGAGTTAGCTCAAAAAATCAAGGACAGATGGATAAATGAGGAGATAAAAGCAATTAGAAGAAACTGTGGTGTTCATCCACATGAACATATTTGTCTCAGACCAGAGCAGATGTTGTTCTAAATGTCATTCCCTGGAGATACTTGAAGATGTCAATAACCCCACGTTTTCAGACAGGACGGAGTTTTTGTTTTCACTGGGGTGCATTTTTCCAGGTGTTATCACTTGTGCACAAACTGAATTTTCCTCAGTGTAAATCATTTTAAAGGCATTTCAGGTGCAACTTAGAAGGACGAAATTCCGTATCACAGTTTCCAATACACCATTTTCAACATCAACCACTTCACAAATCAGATTTGGAGCGGCAGTCTGCACCGTGGCCGATTTTCATGCCCGATTGAGATGTTATCACACATTTCCAGAAGGGTTCATTGACATTCTAATGTTTCGCACCTTGCCTTACTCCAGTTTGGAGCGTTCTGTGGCCCCTTTGGGGCCGTTTCATGTACTGCACTCCAAAGAGTGTGCGAATGTCACTCTGTGCATCCGTAGGTCTTATAGATCTGAAATTACAAACATCTGAAGGTCTTTCCTTTCACATGGTGTAATATATCTGTCGAAATTTTATACGCAGTTCGCGGAGTATTTATTTATGTCTTTTATAGATGGACCGAAGTCATGGCATTTCATCCTCCAGAAGTGTTTATTGTGTTTAATCTGGCGTGTAGATTTGAAACATAACATTTGTAAACAAAACAAAAGGACGATATGTCTTTAAAGGAAAATATTGGGTCATAACAAGACATTTCGACTCAAAGACGGCTCCCCGAAGGTTTATAAGCCGCACATGTGCGCGTCGTCCATGTGGAGGGTCTTTTAAGTCCAAATTTAGACAAGAGGGCTAAGATACTTAATCAAACTGCAGTACTGAACAGTAACGCAGTCGAGAACAGGCAGGCCTAACTGTTTAAACTAATGTTTATCATGTTTTTAATACGAAAATGTGTTTTATTGTAAATAATATGCTCGCTATGTATATAAGGTGCCAGTTTTTTGACATTTTATCAATTTTCACACTTTGTATTGTTAACACATCAGTTTTGTGATTTCCTCTTTGCGCTGCTGCCATCAGTGGTCTTAATATTGAATATCTAGGCTGCTGTTGTTTTTAACACTATTTCTATGACTTTTTTGTATTTCCAACTTTTAAAATGTAAATGTGACCTTTTTTTGTTTTATTTGTAAATAATTAAAACATTTTAAAAAAGTTATTGTTGGTCATTTGTAGTATTTCAGTTTCTATTAAACAGTGTTGTTATTGTTAACTAACACTTTTCAAAATCCTATTTTTTAAATTAAATGTATCCGGGAACTTATATAAATAAGGATTAAATGGAAATAAGAAATATTGTAAAATGGCAATGGCACATAACAAGATTACTAAAATGTAAAGCAAATTTAAAATGAAAACATATAAATTCTAATTCAAAATATGAATAAATACTATAATAGGATGTTAATAATACTAAAATAGCTCTGTTATTAAATTGAAAAATGTCTAATCATTAATATGCTAATGTATTGTTTCTTTCTCTGCTGCTCTGAGACCAATGGCCTGATGGTTTCCATTCACTCAAGTCTGATGTTTCAACCCATCGAACGTGTGTGTCAGTTCGCTTTCAGCAGGTTGTGTGTTTAGGCGACCCATAGCTGATGAATACAACCCCCTCTTATGGGCGATAGAAAAGGACGTGTGAGAAGAAAGGTCATCCAGACCAAAGCCAATAGTTTCCTGTTTCCTCCAGTGCACTTAAATCAGCAGGGGTCAAAGGTCAGGGTTCAAACTGTTGAAAAGCTAACTGAATTCATAAAGCGGTTACTTCAGTCAAACGGGAGCAGGCAGACAGTATGTTGAAGCAATCACGGATGAGAGTCAGGAGAGCTCTCATGAATAAGCCGTTTCAGTTCCAGATCCATGATGGATTGTTGCCGCCATATGAGGTTAAACTAATACACTTGATTCAATTAATCCAGCGGAGGCTGATTATTGTTGAATCAGATGTGTTAGTTCAAGGCTGGAACAAATTATGCTGTCGTGGGTTCCCAGAGGACAAGAGTTGAAAACCACTGGAACAGACACAAGACGTCAGATCTTCTATAGGACTCCAATGTACAGTAAAACACAGAGGTTTTGTGTTTAAATCAAGAGAAAACCACATTTCCACTCGAAACTCTCTCTGAGAGTAAGCATTTGAAGTCATTTTTCTGCTTCAGTGCTTTGTTAACTGCTCGTATAATGGCTCTCTTCAATCTTTTTTATTTTATTTTCGAGCATCGATCTTGCTTGTACAGAGTGGTGCATATTTTCTTTATAGACTTTCCTACTGCATGTACATAGAAAGAGTTTATGCGTTTGATCTTTCGAATGTGGAAAATAAACACTAACAATTTTAGATTCATGGCATTTATATCAGAAATAAGCCTGTGAGTTTGACCTCTGCGTGTTTGTCAGAGTAGCCCAGACTCCCTGTTAGCGCTTGAAGCATTCTGGTTTGTGTCCAAGTGTTGATCTCGTTCACTCACCGTGTAGAAGTATGCGAGTCCAGTCCAAAGCTCACAGGAGAGATTTCTTACCAGATGAACCTGTGCTGACAGAGGTGGTCTGAGAGAGAGAGAGAGAGAGAGAGAGAGAGAGAGAGAGCACTAATCAGCCACAACATTAAAACCACCTGCCTAATATAGTGTAGATCCCACTAATGCTGTTAAAACAGCTCTGTTGCATCGAGGCATGGACTCCACAAGACCTCTGAATGTGTCCTGACTGTTCATCCCAAGGCGTCAAATACTGACGCTTTTGCCAAAGCGTCTATATCCAACGCACATGGCACCCTTAAGCGTCAATATGAGACGCAGATATATGGCGCCTCCTAGTGGTCTAACCCTAACACTACCCCAGACCTAAACCTACCCAAAACCGAAGCGTGTTATATTGACGCTAAAGGGTGCCATGTGCGTCGGATGTAGACGCTTTGTCAAAAGCGACTTGGGATGAGAATGCGTTGCAGCAATGCGTTGGTTGGATCTGACACCAAGATATTAGCAGCAGATTCTTCGAGTCCTGCAGGTTGACTCCATGGATTGGATTTGTTGGTCCAGCACATCCCATAGATGCTCAGTCAGATTGAGATCTGGGGAAATTGGAGGCCAAGGCAACACCTTGAACTCTGCGTCATGTTCCTCAGACCATTCCTGAACAATTTGTGCAGTGTGGAAGGGTGCATTAGCCTGCTGAAAGAGGCCATTGCCATCAGGGAACACCATTGCTAAAGGTTGTACATGGTCTGCAACAATCTTTAGGTAGGGGGTACGTGTTAAAGTAACATCCGCATGAATGCCAGGACACAAGGTTTCCCAGCAGAACTTTGACCCCTGACCCTGACTCCGGTTCACCGATTGTCCTTCCTTGCACAACTTTTGGCTGGTATAACCCCAGCATACTGAAAACACCCCCCAAGACTTGCTGTGTTGGAGATGCTCTGACACAGTCTTCTAGCCATCATTATTTTGGCCTGAATAGCAGGGCCCTTGGTGCATGTGCTGCGAGATGACCACTAGGACTTTTATTTTGCATTGTGTATATGTCCAAAAAACACCCATTTGCTCATTTGTTTAGCTAAATCGCTTTTGATATTAAATGTAGAATAAAGGGATTCTGACACTATATGATGCAAAATTCTTAATTAGCATTTTGTCTTATTTTTCAGCTAAAGTTTTTATAATTCCTTGAAAAAAAAAAATTGCATATAATATTTTCAAAGACTTCAGATATTTTTCAAAATGTGTATTAAATAAACAAAAATGATACAAAATGATACTAGTCATTACAACAATACTTCAACAATACTTCTCTTGTTTTAAAGATACATTATAAAATGTAGACAAATACAAATTTTGATTTAAAGAAAATATAAAAACGTCTTAAAATCTTGTGTTGCTTATAATTTGATTCATTTTTTTTAAAGTGTTATTTTATAAGACAATAAGTGAAAAAAAAAAAAGTGTTTTGTTTTTGCATTGCATCTCTTTATTATTTATTCACGATTTGACAGAGACAATCTTTAGGCAGACAGTGAGTGAGACAGGTTTTAAGTTTCCAGTCCATGTAATTTTTAAAAGCACTTCCAAATACAACCACAATATCAAAAACATATATATTTTTATTAGTCTAAAAAATTGTCTAAAAACAGTACATCCAAACCAAATGCCACTATTTCTTTCCTTTGCTGCCCTCTACTGTCCACAACATCAACCTTCAGGAACGTTCTATCTTGGAATTCAAAACCTTGAAACATTCTGGCCAATCAGAGACTGACGAGAAGCCCACTGTGAGCGATTACTTTCATCTGTGTTCAAGGGAACCAATCGGTAATCTGATTCCATTTGGCCATGTTGGTGATATGATGGCATCAAACTCTCTGTGCGATCCAATGGACACGTTGACATTGCATTTGAGTTCAAATGAGCCCATGGAAAAGTGTTTTTGTCTCTGTGATGGGCCAATGGAAAAGTGGATTGTGTGTGATGAGCCAAGTAACCGTCCAATGAGCTGCCAGAGGTCGCTGGCAGAGAAATCAAAGCATTCCTACTTCTCAGAAATCCAGGTACACCTGAGAAAGAGACATCATTTATAATGCAGACTATGATTCTACAATGAAAACAAGACATCAGGGCTTACCCAGTGATCCACTACGGTCTTCCCTTCGCTCCCTCCTCATCCTCGCTCTGCGATTGGAAAACCAAACCTTCAGATGGAAGGTCAAGATCAGGTCAAACATCTAACACAAGCCCCTTTAAATATGCAAACTCTGAAAGCATCTTCTTCATTTGGCAAATGTTTATTTATGAGGGGAAAAAAAAGCATTTGTTAAATCTGAATTGCCTTTATGGTGTCTTGTGGAAGGTTTGTCTCCTCAGACAGCTTTTCTCTGGTCAGCAGGTCAGGATAAAGCCCACGGATGAACTCTGAAATGGCCAGAAATCAGAAGGGGAGATGTTGCAATGTCAGTATAATAGCACTCAGATGACTCTGAGCAGACAGTGAGAGATTGGAGTGACTGAAAGTGAATCACCTTTCTCTAACCTCTCACTCTGATTTGGTGTGAAAGCTGTTCTGTTGCGAGGAGAGGTGACTCGCGGGGTTGTGTCCATTTGTTGCTGAATTGTCTGAGCGGTTGTGTGTAAACTCCTCTGCTCATCCACTTCTGGGTGAAAGGAAGTGAACGGAGAAGGTTAGTAGACATATTTGTTTCAAGACCAATAGGATGAATGCATGTGGGACATTTTAGATGGGACACTTAATCATCTTTATCATTATGGGCATATTCTTCTATTAGTAAACATAAGCAAGTTCATCTAACCTGAACTGTGTAGTATAAGTAACACAATAAAGCCCTCTTTTTGTATGTGGTGATCTTAAAAAGTAGCACCTGGAAAATTGGGTGGTTGATTTGGTGTGTTTTTCCACTATACCATTCAAAAGTTTTGGGGTCAGTACGATAAAAAAAAAAAAAGAAATGTATACTTTTATTAAGAAAGAATGTATTAAAATGATCCAAAAATGACAGTAAAGACATTTATACTGTTGTAAAAGATTTCACTTTCAAATAAATGCTGTTCTTTTGAAATTTATATTCATCAAAGAATCCTGAAAAAGAAAATGTATATTGGTTTCCACAAAACAATTAAGCAGCACCACTATTTTCATCATTGATATAATAAGAAAAGTTTCTTCAAATCAGCATTTAAGAATGATTTCTGAAGGATCGTGTGACACTGAAGATCGTAGTAATGGCTGCTAAAATTCGGCTTTATTAATTAGGAATAAATTACATTTTAAAATATATTAAAATAGAAAACTATTATTTTAAATTGTAATAATATTTCACAATTTTAATATTATTTTTACTGTATTTTTAATCAAATAAGTGCAGCCTTGGTGAGCATAAGAGATTTCTTTCAAAAACATAAAAAAAAAATCTACATTTTTTGAATGATGTTATAATATCAGAACACAGAGATCAGTAACAGGTTACATTGTGCCATTTGGAACAACACTGACAATCAGATGACATTTTAAAACTACAACAGTGACAAATGTCTCGCTTCACCTGTATTTACCCTAGTATTTGAATAATGAATGAATTCGATTACCTGTGTAAATGTGTTTGACACTTGGATATGCACTGCCCATCATATCCACATCTAGATGAATCTTCTTAAGAATCCGGTTTATGGATGACACCTGATGGACATTGATTTGTTGAGTCATACATTTCCTCCCCAAAAGGTTCTTTATAGTGAAAAATGGCTCTTTAGATTATTAAAATGTTCTTCAAGTTAAGAAAATTGTTCTTTTAAGAACTGTTCACCGAAAAGTTCTTTGGGGAACCAAAAAAGGTTCTTCACTGCGTAAACCTCATAATGAGGTCCTCTTTTGGAACCGTTTTTTTTTTTTTTATGTGTGTCTATGCAGAAATTGGCTTTCAAAACTACACCAGCTTAAAGGAAAACCTCAATAAGTGTTGTGACCTACACTGGGGACTGTATCTCCTCTGCAGACTCGATCTGTCGCCAGTTTTTGTCGGATCTCCCAGGCGAACAGTGTGGGGTTCTGCCGCTTGTGCTGCGCAATGATGGAGATGACGTCAGGAGTCAGGAGCCTGGGTCTGCTGCCTCCCGTTGCTTTGGGACCAATGGCCCCTGTGCGCTGAAACCTGCCCAAAATCTTACTAACGCAGCCGTTGGAGACCTGACAGAGCACAGGTTTATTCCAGCATGTATAGATATTCACAAAAACACATGGCAAAGGTGAGAATTTGACTCAATACCTTGAGTATTTTGGAGATCTCACACGGTCTCACACCCTCGGTCGCGAGCTCAACCATCAATCTCCGTTTGCAGACGGGCAGAGGACGACCGTTCAGAAACACACCGCCCAGCTGATTCACACTCCCTTCTTCTCCTGACACATATATCCATAGACAAAGCTACATTACTGGGAGGTTTGCGCTTTTATAATGCAGTGGAATTTCTTCCATAATCAACTGAACAACTTTTTCTGCGCCTTTGCTGAACAAATGTGGCTATATAGCTTAAAGATTTTCATCATTTTTATCCATTTGATTTTGTGCTCCATAGGCTGCTGGATTTTATGAGTTCTCAGAGTTTCAAAACAATTTCTTCATCCGTAAAAGTCACTCAAAGTGGCAGAAACTGTTAATGAACAGCAGCAATTAGGAGTTGAAAATCTTTGGAATAACTGTAACGATTAAATGCCGACCTTCATTTCCCAGAACAGAGTTTGCGCTGCACATCCCAATGGGCACCTGGTAAAAATATATATTTTAGTCAACATTTAATGCATTAAATTAGCCTGAAATCTAATGCGGAAAGAAAACTACAATGAGTGAAAGCGAGGTAATCCTTTTCTTACAGTGAAGACGGTCTTTTTCTGTGCCGTTCTTCTTGAAGGAGATGCGTCCTTGCGCGTGGACCCCTCACTGCCCCGGCGCGCGACTTCTTATATAGCTAACCTAGCCTTATCAAGATGACGTACTGTGCACATAGGGGGGAAAAGGTAAATATAGACTCTCGATGGTGATAATGTAGTCAACAGTGTTCACACTGTAGAAAAGACGGAAAATATAGTCATTTCTGCCAGGACATTATGCATAACCCTGAAGCACAACGCACTGCAGTGCAAAATTCAAAATACAGGTAAAACACCTGTGAAAAAAATCAATACGGAAAAATCCTTCATATTAATAAAATTCATTGTCCCCTATTATTTTTTAACGGATTTTTTTTAACAATATCCATAAGTTATCCCTAAAATCAAAAGGGGGAATTGATAGGTGAATAACACTGATGTAGAAGCACCTGCTTGTAAGTCTGTAAAACTGAAAATTTGTTTCTCAAATCTGATTGTTTGATTGGAATGTTGTTCCACAAAATCTGTCACTTGGATGGTACCCTTTAAAATGGTTCTAGTGTACCATTTAGGAACTAATATGTAGACCTTTGGTAGCAACAAGTACCTTTGAGGTAGGCTACTAATATGCACTCTAGATATAAAAATATGTAGGCATATACCTTTGCTGTACAAATGGACAGCTTTTGTACTTTTTTTTCTGAGAGTGAAGGGTTACAACACCGTTTTTGTAATGTTTAGACTTAGATTGCAAGCATAAGCGCGTATTTGACGCTAAAAGTGTTGTTTGGCGAAACCCGTCCGTTCACTTCAATGATGTTCGCGCGCTTTCCATTCCATACTGAATGTTGTTATTAGTTTGAAAAGTATTTTAGATAATTAAAGTTTACTGTGGCAGTCAGTGGCGTAAGTGCCAAAGATGAACCTCAACAGATTACGCCCAGAAAAACTATCTTCAAAAATAATCAACTAAACTAAAAACAGTGGCCCCTAAAATATCGTGTAATTGGCACTGTGTGCACCAATGTGACAGATGCAGTAGTTAGACTTGCAGGTTCCCTGCGCACATATGAGTGGCACGAATATTTAGAGAAAATAGGTACCCCAAAGGATTTTTTTTTTACTTAAAGATGTGTTTATTTAAATAAAATGCTTAATGAGTTTAAAGGATCGCCTTTGCTGAGCGAACAGAGAGCACCAAGTGTGTGAAGTGTCTGATTTCAGCACCAGCCCGCGCTGAACAGGTCCCATGATGTTCTGAATGAGCGAATGAAAGCAGTGCTTGCCCACATATGAAACTAGTCAGCTTCCAAACGATGATTCTGAAATGTTATACTCTTTTTATGTGCCCACAAGCCCTATTTTACTACTGTGCTTCTCAAACGGCTGTAGATTGAGGCTCTCCGGCTGTCACGTGACTGGCGCATCTTTCATCCTTCCACGCGACGACTGTAGCTACATGTTAATCAGATTTAGTTCTTTTAAAGCAAACATTTGAAAGCCTGCTCCAAAGACGACTGCCATATGGTAAAGTGCTTTTGATAAATCATAAATCCATCATGGAGCCCCTTTTATTACATTTTCTTTCAAGCATGAACAAATAGAGTCCGAGGGGCAAATGTGAACCAATTGTGGTTTTATTTATAAAAATCGAGAGTTGAAAACCCTCCCAGATGTCCCTTGTCTGGCCAGCAGATAAAATGTGTTGTAAACGTTTCAAAGGAAATATTTGGAGAGCAAATATTAGCGCGAGAGTATCCACACAAGCCTCATCTTTGGTCCTGCTCAATGACTAATTGGGCATCATTAGGTAAATCCACACAGATCGAAGATTGTGGAAATAAGGTTGGATTTTAAAATGCCATATGGTGCAAATTACATATTAACCACCCCTTACAGCATAATCATATCTGCAGGACTGAACGATGCACATATAAACGCGACGACCGGTTTGAACGCCAACATCTCCTTGCCAACGAGATGAAAAGACAAAAAACATATTTATTTATTACTTTAGAGAGCTTTACGTTCTTTTTTACTCATTTTATTAAACGAAAATTGATAATTAAATGAGTTAAAGTTCAAAAATGAGATAAAAAAGGACGAACCCCTCTCTGTGCGCAAATCTGCCCGGCACTTTGGGGATGTTTACAATTTGAACATTTAAATCAATACGATTTTGATATATTCGCGTATCCTGTGCCGTCAGAAATCAAGAAAGCCACACTAATGATTCATCTTTCCATGTTGTGCTCTGAATCATAGCACTTAAAGTCTGAAATGGCACCCGCGTAAATGTGTACATGCAGCTCTCCAAACGCGCACACGTGTGGCCCACAGTGATGTGCTATTCAAATATCAGTTGAAATACTGCGGATGCATCTTTAAAATTAAGAGAACACAAAAACTTTTTGGACACTAGCTTTAAAGTCAAGGAAACCATGGCCTTTTTTATTTATTTGTATTTTTCACTGTTCGCACCAAAGCTCATGGGTAGCTTACAGCTGAGAAAGTGCACTTATGTGCCAATGCAAAAATTCAGGTAAATATCAAATCTTTTACATTTCCTCCCCAAATGTGTAATTTAATTGCATAACTGTCCACTAATACACCACCTTATCGTATCCAAGGCTCTTGGTTACATGTACATACCGTTGTTGGAGCTCAGTGAGACAGCTGGTAGTCCGGAATAGAAGTAATCGTTAAATTTCTTACACAGTACACGTTGTATGCCAATCAGTGATGATATCATGAGCCATATGGTTATAAGGCAAGTAAAGCATGTTTTCAGGTTCTTGCGTTTGTCCTGATCCGAATATTTTGAAACAACAAATGATCGACTAATGTTTTAATAATTAATTTATTTTATTAATCAAGTAAATTAATAGAACAATCGAGGGTGAACTATAGTTGTAGCTATGGTTGTGGGCGTGAGTGAATGTATGTCCAATCTGCCTTCCTATTCATATGACCACGTTTATGATTTTTGTATGAGATACAAATGAGCATTATAACAAAAAAACCTAGGGTGAATTCGGGTAATCTGGGACATTGGGTAATGTGGGACACCTATCTCCACTGTGTTTATTTCACACAATTTAGTCAGCAGGACTTTTACTATAGGTTTAGCATGGATGTCATGTGACTGAAATCACATGACTTTATGGGGGTGATGCCACAGAAAGGGGCAGGGCACTTGTCAATCAAGAAGCTCCTCTGGGAATTGCATGACAAGGTCATTGACATATAGGACACTGACTAGATTAATGTTAAGGACATAAATCTTTCATAAATAAGACAATGTTCCTACTTGTTGTCAAATTATGTTTGTGATCTATTCAAGCAACAAAATATGTATTAAAGTGTTGAAAGTTTTTTTTTTTCTTTCAAACATTTGTTTGTTGTCCCACTTTATCAAATATGATTGAGAATGTGGGACAGCATGCTTTGGGTAATCTGGGACAGTCTTCAAATGGGGGAAATATGCATTTAGGATCTTTATAAGTCTAATGACAAGGGCGTAGATCTCATTATAACTTATTGGTAGACAACTGATATACTTTAAAATGAACTCTAAAATAAAGCTAATCAGGGTTTGAAATGAACACCCGCCAACTCGCCAAGTTGGATAAAAATCAACTGTGGCGGATAACGCTGTCAAATCTAGCCAATTTGGCGGGTTACCTATTCTTTTTTTCTCACTTTGCTGAGTCTCTCATCTGCAAGGAGCGTTTGTTCCCTGAGTAGCCCCAATTTGAATGGAGAACTTAAATGAATAACCGAATAAATAATCGGTTAATCAAATAGTTGTTTGCTGTTGCTTAAATTTTAGTTGAAATTTTAAAATAGTATACAATTTTTATAGAGTTATACATTTATTTAAATGAATTAACACAGAAGATTGTTAATCCTGTGATAGAATTTATTTTTCCTTGGAACACTCTTTATGTAAATATGACATGAAATTTCTATGAATATTATACATTTTCTTATTGAGATTTCCGTTGCCTACTTGTCATTTTTTCATAATGCTTTTTAAAAATGTGTGATATTGTGTTTGGCATGCATAAAGTATGGTGAATATAGGCTTTTTTTTTAGGCCTAACACGTGTCCCAGATTACAAAGTGACCTGTCCCAGATTATCAAATTCAGTCAGAATACTTTTTTTTTTTGGGGCTAAAAAACACTAATAGATGTGGCATGTCTCCTCTGGGTATAATATCTACATTCTTTGTTCTGGTGTAGGTAGGAAACATATTAGGGATTTCAGAAAAGTTTAATGTGTTGATCTAATGTGTTAGATAGATATAGAAATAAATCGCAGAAGTCAAAATTGCAAAAAAAATTCCCAGATTACCCGAATTCACCCTACTATAAAATATTTTGGGTGCAGGGCGGCACACGCATTTCTATTTGTTCCAGCAGAACGATTCCAATGCATACTTCTATTCTAACATAAGTTCAATATGATCTACTTAATCAATAGAAAAAAGGTGATGTCAACAGAGTCTCACTTCATTAAAAAAAAAGTGCAGAAGTGTAATATTGACTTATGAGTCAATGCAATATTTGTCAAATGGTGTCATCTAGTGGCCAGTAAGTATTTCCACAGAATTATTGTCGAGCAGGGGGTCCATTAATGTCAGAACATGTATGTCATATTTTGACAGTTATGGTGCATTATGAAATTATGAAACCTATTGAATTACAAACAAACGTAAAATCATAGCCTATATATAGTTAAGTGCTTTCAGTTTGGGTATCACCACCACAGCTTATTCAACAGGAATTGTACACTCTCTATAAATCAATTCCAAAATGCAGGAATGTGCGGGGAGGCCATAGTTTAAATGACACAATTAACAAATTAACAATTAACAAATCTTACGTATTTGTGTCTTTTCACATGTTTTAGGGATTGACCGTAATTTATTTTTTTCTCTCTTTCTTTTTAAATTAATACCGATGTCCTAATAAATAATTTTCTTTTTAAGGCTCTTACGTTGTTAATAGTGCCATATTGTGTTATAACAGTTATAACAAACCAATTTCAATTTACAAACTCAAGGAAAATTAAATTACATATGAAAGTATAACAAATAGGCCCATATGTAGGACAAGCTTCTATGCATCATCTCTCAACCAGTGATCTCTCAATCTGCCTCCATCCATGTTGCACAGAGAAAAGTATTTGTATAAATAAATAAATATTGAAAATAAATACGTGTGCAAATAAATAAATAAAAACAAGTAAATGCATAAATAAATGCACAAACAAACAAACAAACAAACATATAGTGTGTAATAAATAATTAAATAAATAAAGTTAGGTCCATAATAAATAAAGGAAAAAATAATACAAAATAAATTCAGGATTCAATTTCATTACAATAGCATTTATTCTATAAAGTAGTTTCTTTCTTTCTTTCTTTCTTTCTTTCTTTCTTTCTTTCTTTCTTTCTTTCTTTCTTTCTTTCTTATTTAAATCTCCAGTAATATCTATCGTTGGTGACTACGCTTACATACTCATGAAACATATGCGCCAATATAAAGATAATAAAAGAAACAGTAGCAAAGTAAAAAAGTAAATAAAAGCAAACAAATAAATAAATAAATATAGTTATAGTAGCAAAGTGAATAAAATAAGTAATAATAATAATAATAATACAAAATTAATTCATAAATATTAAATTGGTGTGTGTTGTGAATGTGAATATGTGCAGTATGCACACGTTTTTTTTTTTATCTGTGCTGACGTGTCGCACCTCCCCATTTACCGGATGTCATCACTCGTGTCCAACGTCACAACCAAATCGCCCCATTCAGAGCGCCAGTGACGCTGTGACCGAGGAAGTGCAACATTTCGACGTGTACATCCCAATGCTGTGCTTCCGGTTAAGCAAAGCGTGATCAGTCGTGCTCAGTCTCTCTTCTTCCCTTTCTCGGCTCACAGTAGAGGCGTCTCATAGGACTCTCCCGGTTCCTTTACCTCTCTCTTTCTTCCCTCCCTAACGGAATACTCATCCAGCTCAGCGGACATGGCATCTGCAGTACAGGCACAAGTTCAGTCCAACCCAACTTCAGCCCCGCAGCTGCAGAGGGGAATAGTGAAGATGGTAGGAGAGCACACGGGGCACAAGTGTTGGTCTGGGGGGGCTGGTGATAGCAAAGACTTAAAAAAGTTCCGGTCTTTCATGTCAGGCATGTATTATGCAGCCTGTTGGTTTTCCACTAGTTCTCTTGAGTTTTGGCGAGTCTTCAAGTTGTTTCCATGGTCAGCAGAAATTGACAGAAGTTGAGCGGGCTTCAGCTGTGATCCAGATGGCCAACGTTATATTCAAAGTTCATTTGTTGGCTTTTATTCGCTGTCGTAAACGAAGCCTAACATTATTATATACCAGTCGCTAAGTCTAAATGTTTTGCAGCAACAGCTCAATGTTTGCAAAGACGAGGCACAGATTTCATAATAAACTCTTGATAGTTTGTTAAACAGCTGTCTTGTATCAAAGCTGAGCTTCTTAAACGATTCTAGAGTTTATCTGAACGCAAAATCTAGATTTGTGGGTTGCATTTGATTTGTTAATTGGCGGAGTTAACGGATTTTGACTCATGCTAGTGACTCGAAACTTTTGAATCGGTTCACAAAAAGATTCATTTGCGGATTCGTCCAGGTTGCACCTCCAGGAGGTGGCGCCACTTGAGTGTCTTATGCGTTACTAGTGAGTGTGTTGAATCCTTTTTACAGTCTGTGGTTGAATCATTCACTTACTCAACCGATTCGGGGGATGTCGTGAATGAGCTTTAAGTTTTTTTTTTTTTTGTTTTTTTTTTTTTTTACAAATGACAACAAAGCATCTCTATAATTTTTTCATTCATCCTTCAACGGCAGGGTTTGAATTTGTTTTAAAATATTGAAAAAAATGTGAGAGACTAAAAGTGATTAAAAGACACTAAAAAGTGTGTCAAAAGTAATTTTTACACATTCCCAGACAGTAGTTCTCAAAAACTGCTTCGTCAGTTTTTGAATGCACCTGTCCGTGCAGTTGAATGAGAACGAATAAATCGATTTAAAGATTCGTTCAAAACACTTATTCTCTCGCGAATCAAACTGTCATAGTCGTAATCTGGAATCACCACTATGATTAGTCTTACTACACTTTCATTTGAACTTAAGTTCAAAGTTCAGATTTCTTCTGTTCTGTCAGTCTTGCGTGTGAGATCTCGTGTGTGTTCGTGCGCTCGAGTAAATTCTCCTTGAGTTTCGCTCGCGTGTTACAGTGTTTCTGTGTTACTCATTCAGCTCCTCATGACTGACCAGGCTCTGCAGTTTCGGACTGTTTGCTTTTTATCTGCTCTGGTCAATGAAGGGGTAAGTTAGCAGATAGATAGGAGAAACTGACACGTAGGTTTTCCAAGGAGAAACTCGTGGCGATAACGTGAGGTAACCCACAAGTAGAAACGCTGCATGATATCAAAGCCTTTATTCAACCTAATTGTCCGTGAAATTAGCTTTTTTGTTGTAATGTTTTCAGTTGTTATTATAGCCTCTTTGGGAGGATAAAACTGCCACAAAATGTATCTGGTATCCATAGTTTTCACCAAAAGCTATAATTGTTACTACATTACAACTATATTTGGGGCAAATGCCTCTGTAACCAGTTCATGTTTTTGTAAACAAATATGTAAACATTTAAATATGTATTTGTTGTTGATGTCTTGTGAATCATTTATCGCTATTTGATGCTGGTTTTACAGATACATTTCATACCTATTCCTAAACATCAATTAACACTTTTCAAAGTAGCCTACTTCCCACTTTTGCTCAACTCCTTGTTTAACCAGAGCGTGGTGGATTTGGGAAAATCATGGATATTTTCCGAATCTGACTGTGGTGACCTAGGCCTGTGTATCCTTCCATACAGCCAGTAATTAGACAGGCGCTCTGCTCCCAGGGCCTCTCTAGAGGAAAAAAACTCTCGGTTTGGCCTCTTGATTTATTAGAAATATATTCGTTTTAATAAGTTTAAGTAAAGCCTAGAACACCATTGGGTTGCGCAATCATCTTTGATGATATCAACCAGTGTTTGTGACATGTGGCTTTGAGTTTGAATCAATGTGAGCAGGACAATAACTTAGATATTCTCAAAAATTTCTGACAAATATTGAATTGAAAGATTCTATGTAAATGTTATTATTACTGTTGTTACTATTGGTATAAATGTCAGATTTTGTATATTGATTGTTTTCTTAAGAATTTTTTTTTAAATTATTGTAAACAATGTTTTGAATTGATTAATCAGAATAATTTTTTAAATTGAAATACTGTTGATTGCCATACAATATAGCCATTGCTGCTTATGTCGTTTAATCAAAAATAAATAAATAGATATTCTCAAATGGGACAGAGTCTAATATCTTTATTGGCTATATTTTAGGACCAAAGATTGACACAGAATCAACGTAATCTTTAGTCCATTAATGTAATCATTTCGTAACGGTGCAGGTGTGTCAAGGGGTTTAAAGGAACGCCAGTGATCTGATATCTGATTGGATAAGCCAGTGTCAGATATCTGTAACAACTGTTTCAGCATAAAGCAAGCATGACGAGGCTTGTAAACATCAGTGCTGTAAATACCTCACACAGCTCCGAGATCAAGCACTGATTCAAATGGTAATGTGAATACACAAGTGGTCGTTGGTCTCATTCGTTTTAAGTTGTATTTGTTTAGCTGCTGCTAAAGCTGAGACGTCATGTTGTGATTATCACAGTAGTGATTGTTTTACTGATTTTATCTTTGTTTTGTGGGTGTAATGGTTGTTCAACTGTTGGCCAAACACAAACAAGCAGGTCCTAAAGGAATTATGGTCAGATCCCTCAGTGTTTGACTTGCGGATTGATTGTTTGTATCATGCACTGCCAATGCACAATTACAACTCTCATCATCATTGACATGTCTGTGATGATAAACTATTTATGAAACATTATATGTGCACTCACATTGATTTGTTTCCTCGCAGGTCTTGTCTGGTTGTGCTGTCATTGTTAGGGGTCAGCCACGAGGTGGACCACCTCCAGAACGGCAGATCAACCTGAGTAACATCCGAGCCGGAGCTCTGGCCCGTCGAGCAGTTCAGGCCCAACCAGACACCAAGGACACACCGGATGAGGTAAACATCAGCCCTGCACAGAGCTGCTCTGTCTGGCCCTTTGATTTTTTTTTTTTTGTTGTAACGTGTTGATTCATAGTCATTTTCTTATTTTGTTCTTCTCATAGTGAAGTTTTGGATATTCAGTAAACCAAATAATCCCCCCCCCCCTCCCCAGTATGCTAATTTATTAGCTGTGTTTACTACACAAAAATAAGTATTTTGTGAAAACTCTGAATATAAAAAAGAAATAAAACAACCTTTCCTTACATTGTTCAAGAGCACCCAAACAAACAAAACAATCACAGCTTTGTGGGAAATTGATGTGAAATTAAAGCCGCTGTGGCTCTTTTAATAAAATGATTTTAATGGCAGGTTATGACTATTTAATGACAAATAGTTTGAGAATTATTTGAGTTTTATTGTCACTTGACTTTTTTGATCTGCATTTAGGAATTTATTTAATACAGGGGTTTAGATTACTTACCATCCAATATTTTTGTCCCATGTTGTGGTTATCACTATCAATCATAGCAATTTCAAGAGTGAATTTCACATTTAAATGTAGATGTCACTTCCGAAATTTTGCAGCATGTAATTGGCCGTCGGTCCTCTTTACTGCGTGAAAAACTAAAGTTTGAATCAATGGTTTATATAAAGCCTCAAAAGCACGCAGTGACAGCTTCCTTTTTAATCATTTAAAACCTGTCCCTCATCTCAGTTCATCACAATCTCACAAAGTTCCGTTATAATAAATGAAGCTGACTGCACTTCACAATGAATCTCTTACTTGCATCGTGTCTACACTTAATTTGCTATAATGAGAGGATTTGCAAGCGTGCAGAACTCGGCACTGAACAAAAGCTCTGGCGTCTTGAGCGGTGAGTGAATTCTGACTAAATCAAACATCTCTGATTGGCCATTGCATTCAAGAGATCAACATGTCTGTGATTGGCTACATTTCTCACTACTGCAAACACACGTTGTAAATAGAAACATTCGACGTTCTCTAAAGCGCAAACACCAATACACACTAGAGCTTTTGCCCTGTTTTGCTGAAATTATATTATTACAGTATCAAGTGAGGGTGCCCCTTAATTCAGCTTTGCCAGCTCAGGAATAAAGCACATTTTAACACGCATTAAAATAGAAAACAGTTATTTTAAAATGTAAAAATATTTCACAATATTACTGTTTTTACTGATTTTGGGGTCTCGCAGACCCCAGACTTTTAAACAAAAGGGTGTGTGCAGATGGTCATACTAAGAACCCGCATCAGACGAGTGGTTTGTTTGGTATTTGTCACTTGAGCCCCTTTAACATCGTTGATCCCGGGAAAATTGCCGGAAAATGCTAGTGCCTTCTGTGTGAACGCAAACACGTCCCGGGATTGATACCAGGATCGATGCCGGGATGGGGACCTAGTAACATTGCCGGGATCAGTCCCGGAACGCGCCCTGTGTAAACAAAAGCCAGGACCAATGCTGTAAGGGGTGTGTTGTAGTGATAACTTGACGCACAACGTAATGACGGCTTATCGAATTAACACGTTGAAAAGAAGTCATAATCTAAAAAAAGAGTTGTGATGTGACCACGAAAGATGTTGTACATAAACAAAAAAGTTTGAACATCAACATCTAATGCCTGATCAGCTGCCATGTTGTTCAAAGCAATGCAAACACTTCCACTGTTGTACCACAACATGTTTTCGACGCGTACGTTACTCGTCACGTGTCTTTACGGGATGTGTGTGAACGCACTCACAGATTCCGGAAAATCACTGGCAGTGTGAATGAACCAAAATCAAACGATCAAATCCCGGACGGCGGGACACATCCGTGCATTTTCCGGAATCTCTGTGTGAAAGGGGCTTTGGTATTTCCAACCAATGTATTTAATGTGTATATAAGCCAGTTAATTGTGCTGTGCATAAAATGACTGTAGTTCATAGCATCTTGTGACATTTTTCCTTAGTAAGTCCATTGTGTTTTTAATCCTTTAATTCTACACCTCATTATATAATAAAAAAATTCCGCAGGTCATTTATACGGTTTTGTTCAAACATTTTCATTCCCGCTAGAGTGAATAGCGACTCTTTAGTTACTAATGCACATCCTCCAGTGCTGAATGGCTGTAAATAGCTTTGTGTTCTTTGCAGCCATGGGCTTTCCAGGCACGAGAGTTCATGCGTAAAAAGGTAATCGGCAAAGAAGTCTGCTTCACCGTTGAGAATAAAACACCTCAAGGCAGAGAATACGGCATAGTGTACCTGGGAAGAGGTGAGTAGTGTGCTTTTTCACATGAGAATCTCACTGCAACAGTGCTGATCTGAAGTGCATTCTGGGTCATGTTTTACTAAAATATGAGAGCATTTGAATGTGTGTCGATGTGTTGACTTTAGTGTTGTTATAGTAACGTGGGTTTGATCTCTCTAAAGACACATCAGGAGAAAATATCGCAGAGTCCCTGGTGGCCGAGGGTCTTGCAGCAGTTCGCAGAGAAGGCATCAGAGGAAACAAGTAAGAAACCTACGTATTTTCTTTCCCAAAGCGTCAAACAACTGGTGTCAGTACGGTTCTTGCACCTATTGTCAAAGCCTTCACAATGCTGGCTATGTTTTCCCCTTTGGCTGAGATCATTTGTGTTGTCACAGTGGTTTTATTGTAAAAACACATTATTTGTCCTGCAGGGGGCAGTGTTTGCCTTTAATGAAGTTACATTAGACACACTCTGGATTTATCAAACGTTATTGCTTTTGATATTTCTCCATTTGATCTCACACCCCCTCTTCTGGTCACATCTGCTCTTTACATGTCTCTTCTATCTGCCCTTCTCCCTCTGGCTAGCAGCGATGTCATATTGTCCTAAGCTTTTGGGACTTAATGATGCGTATGCAGGCCACTCTGTGAAATGGCCCTGAACAATTGCCAGTGGAATCGGTTTGCTTTAGCCTCATTTTCCCCGCAGGAGACAGTGGTGTTAGACCCGCTGGTCTCTCCACAGCCCCTGAAAAGCCTTCTCATTAGCCAGGCCTGCTGTGGCCCATCACAGCCCACTTGATCGGCTATCATAATCTCCAAAGGAGTCGTGTTTAAACCTGGGCCGCGCTCTGCCCACCAGCTCTCAATTAGGCACAGCTGAGCTGGGATGGATGCCCACTCCTCTCCCTCTGACACACTCCTGCTTTCTCTTTTAAAAAGATGAAAGAAAATAAAACTTTACAAGACAAAGACTGCTCAAGATGGCTGCGGAGATTTGGCAGCCTCTTATTTCTCGTAGTTAAAATTTATGAAGGCTTAGATAATTGGAGCTTTGGGCTTGTCATTTAGTAGGCAGAAGGCGACTTCTCTTTGACATTTGATCTACCAGGCTTGCCTGTTACTACATGAGTGAGTTTTTAAATAAGAGTCGGGTATTAACATCTGTCCTGTGGGTTGTCGTTTTGCATATCAGAAAAAGCAGGATGACGAACCCAGATGTCTGGTTTGAATCTTGTGAGCTTTGTGTTTGTGTCCATTAGACGTGGCAGTATCCTAGACTCCCATGGGCCGCCGACAGTAGTAACCATTAGACTTGAAGTCAAGACCGCCTAAACCGAGACCAAGACACTACCAAGACCAGAGGGTATCAAGACCAAGACAGACCAAGTCGAGACCAAGACCGAGACCGGAAAAAAACAAAAAAAAACAGACTAGTGTTGTTGTAGCTAAGGAATAATTTGTAAGATTTTGTTTTGCATTGCCTGCCTATCTCTGCTGATTTTGAAGTCTCTAAATGAATCCATTCTGCAACTTTTAAATACATAATTATATTTTTAAAAACGAAATTATTAGCTAAAGTCCAGGATCCGAAAGTTGGTTGTTTTGTCGCTATGGTTACACACACACACACACCGTTGGCGGTGCACTCAAAGTCATCTGTCAGTTGTGCATGATCTCCTGAATGAAGTTAAAGCCCATCATGTCAGTAATATGTGTTTTACTAAATATTAATACATCAAAAACTGTACATGATATGTGTTTTTTAAATCAAGTGATCTAAGTGCTCGTTGCCGCTGCGATCAGTGGCGCGGATACGGCTCGAGCACCGCACTGTCTTCACTCGGACGCGCGCTTCAATCCGTTGCGGATATCGTCGTGGATATTGATATTGCTAAATCCCCGACCACTATGTCGGTCTGAGACAACGAGACCAAGACAAGACCAAAGACCGTCAAGGCCGTGACAAGACCGAGACCACGTAAAAGTGGTCTCGAGGCATACATCACTAGTAACCATTTGCACATAAAAATGGAAATGTTTTCACCAGGTCCAATGAAATTGCCTGACTGCAACGCAACTTCCTGGAGGTGGGCTTTACAGGTCTTTATCAGTCTGCCTGGAAACTAAATAGAGTTTGAAAGGAACTGGGCTGACTGTTATCACTTATTAGACCAAATCAATTATTTGCAAAGTTTTCCAGGTATTTGTCTTGATATTTAAAAGACATTTTTGGTTTTCAAGCACTAAGCAAGTATGTATGATGGAATAAAGACAATGTTGTTATTCCTACGCATATTTCATGATTTAAAGGTGGAGCGTGCAATCGTACTGTATGTGTGTATGTAACCGGTTCTACTTGACCCACTCCAAGCGGGATTCGAATTCGGCGTGGGAGGCAGCCGCGCTAACAAGGATGCTAATGCCTCTTGAGGCCAGGGGAGTGAGGTTTACACACACAGCTCTTACTGGGGTGCGTTTCCCAAAAGCGTTGTTAGCCAACTATGGTCACAAGTTTCATCATTATCAGAATAGTTAAATGAGTCTGTGTTTCCCAAAACTATAGTTCCAATGAACATTCGCAAACCTGTGGTTAGAAACATAGTTTCATGTTTGCAAGATATGTGGACTTAAACAAAATCCCTATCCCTATTCCCTATCTTAAACAAAATAAGCAAGCTGACATTTAGTACAATCTATAGTTTTTATTTTAAATATATACAAATGTCATTTATGTTTTTTAGTTTGGCAAGATATTTAAAGCACTGTTTTTGAAGAGTGTGCATGTGCGTTCGTGCTCTAGTATGTAATAATGAACCTATGATTGAATCTGGAAATAAAGCAAAATGAGAATTAGTCCTCAGATGTCATATCTGTAAGTTATAGCAAAAAATCTAGCATTAATTCAATTTCAAATGGATTCATTAAAATAAGTTATTACTCCATCACCTTCACCTGTGTGACATTATTAACCAACATGGTTGAACGACATATTTGTGACAGCATGGTTTTGGGAAACAGTCGCGATTAACTACAGTAGTCAACATTTGAAGTGGATCAAAAAAGTTAATCAAAGTTGTCCTAAGACAAGAACGGGTATTGTTCAAAATTCATGTATAATTTCGATGAAAGGTTTTGATCCACTTCAAATGTTGACTACAGTAGTTGATTTCTTCAATGATGCATCATACTTTGATAGTTAAGTAGCGAATTGTTATTTTATGGGAAACGCACTCTAGGCCTACGTCCATTACACTCCTAAACCTCACTCCTATCCGGGTCACGGCACCAAATGTGACCGGTCCTACTCGACCTGCTCCGAGCGGGATTCGAACCAGGGGTCTCTGGCATGTGAGGTGGGCGCTCTAACAAGGACGCTAAAGACCACAGCTCTTACTGGCCTACGTCCGTTGCATGTGTATGCGCAATATTTCAGTCTGACCACCTTTTTTATTAAAGAAATGCAAAAATAGAATACAACCAACATATCACATTAATGAGCATTTGAAAGTTTATACATCCCATAAAATATTAATTGCGACTCGAGTACAGACTTACCATTTAAATAATAATGTAACATTGCTTTCATACACTTACTTCAGTTTCTGATTCTATCAAGTATTAGGAAAAAATGGAAGGTTGTTCAAATAAAGGAATATTTCCGGCCCACAGTCGATATATTCAAAAATAACCGTTTTCAAAAAGTAAATGCATCATATCCTCTGGGTTTGAGTGTAATAATTGGATAACATTATATCGTAGATAAGATTGGAGTAAACATAATATATATGCAGCAACAATAAAAACAATAACATTAAAAATAAAATTCCAATTGTATTATGATTATTCATCTGGCAGTAACTTTAGCTTAGTAACTTCACTTAAGTTATTTTAATTTTTTTTTATCAAAAATGGTAACAAAGGTATGCCGATAGACAGCATTTCTTATCCATGTCCTGTCCTGTATTATGTTTAGGTGATTTTTCAGCAAATTTTAAATCTCACATGCATTAAAATAATATCACGGTATAAAAGCGCCTATTACAAATTCAGCAAGCATGCTCTTCAGTAGATCTGGTATATCTAAAAGGCACTTTGAATCTTGTCTTTTCATCTAGTTTCAGTAAGACATGAATATTGAAGATTAAATTATCATTGAATGTGTTTTAATATTCAATCTCTGCGATCTTGCCATCAAAACTCCAGTAATTCATCATTTTATTTCATAATTTGTTTGCTGTCTGAGCCAAGACATTAAAGCAGGAGCTGATACATCATTGACAGGGCCTCTGGTCAAACTGTGTCTTTAATTAATTGACTTTCACCACCCACATTTTTTCACCACTAAAAAACCCCCCAGTTTTCATCATAGATTCTGATTCATCCCTCTTCCGTTCTTTCTGTCTGTCTGTCTGTCTGTCTGTCTGTCTGTCTGTCTGTCTGTCTGTCTGTCTGTCTGTCTGTCTTTCTGTCTTACCTCTTTAAGTCTGTTCATTATTAAGGCCAGCACTACTTGCATTGATAGAGCCTTATTAAAAAAACTGACGAGTGTCTGCCATGGTCAGACTGTTTAATTTCCCTTAAAGATAATGATGGCTTTTAGAACAACAGAGGAATTAATTGAAACATGTGTTGGTTTTTGATAATGAACAAACCCATTTGAAGAGCTTATCAAGGTCTCAGAAAGGGGCTGCTCTCTGTGAAAGACCTCTACATCTGTTGCTCAGAGCATTGAAGTCGCGAGGGGAAAGAAAGGCAGACTAAAATGATCTTGTCTTATTTTTAGTTCTCCAAACTCTTGTGGTAAGCTCTGTGGTCTGTAATTTGATATATACTGGACTTTGTGCACTTCTGTATGTTTCAGTCCTGAGCAGGCAAGACTGTGTGATTTGGAGGACCAAGCCAAGTCTGTTAAAAAGGGACTGTGGTCTGAGGGTGGAGGCTCACACACCGTTCGAGATTTGAAGTATACCATCGAGAACCCTCGCAACTTTGTAGACTCCCTCCACCAGAAACCAGTCAATGGTAAGCTTGGTTTGTGGATCACATATTATGCTCTTGAAGGCCAGTACAAATAAATGCTGGTGCAAACATCACTAGTGTTCAAGATCAAGTTCCAATTTCATATTCTTAAATGCAGATTTACTAATACCCCCCCCAACTGATTTTAATGAGTAAAGGAAGGTCATACATTCACATAATTATATATTATAGGTTATTACAAGCATTACAAGTAATACGAGTTCCGTAATCAGATTACTTTTTTTACAAGTAACGAGTAAAGTAACTTATTACTTTCAAATTTACAACCAAATACTGAGTTACTTATTTCAAACAAGTAAAGCGGGTTACTTTTTTCTCTTTTATTGACTGACACCTCTCTTGTCCCCATGTTGAGAGAAATCAGGGAAAGTGCAGAAGTGCTGTGTAAACATGATGGATATTGTAGTTCTAGATTAATTGTGAGCAATGCATTCTCACTTGCACAAAAACAGATTCAGTATTCCTCAAAACGAATAAAAACAGTGAAATGCAAACTCAGATTATTATGAAAACCTGCAATAACACAAATATACTTTCATATATCTCACTTTATTAACCAGTGTCTTTTCTGCTGACCTTTGTTGATCCAATTCAACCATATGAATAAGCAAAAATGGCTTTAGTTAAACATCACATTTGAGCGTTCATTTGTTTTTATTGGTTAAGATTGTTGAACTATCTTGTCCTGCGACGTATTTATGCATTTACTTCAGTGTATTTGCTTATTCATTCCACTTTTGGTGTGAAAAAGCCAAATATATATATATATATATATAATATATATATATATTTGTTTGGTTACTATAAAACAAGCAAGCCCAGCCCAGGTGATAAAAAGTAACACAAAATGAATGTAACATTACTTTTCATTAAAAGTAACTAACGCAATTAGTTACTTTTCTAGGGAGTAACACAATTTTGTAACGCATTACTTTTAAAAGTAACTTTCCAAAACAATGGGGACCACTATATCATAAATACTTTGGGGAGTTTTGCACGGTGGGCTCCACCAGGCCCCCCTTATAATTATGGCATACAGTTTAGTGTTTCCTTCAGACAAAAGTTAAAATTTAACACTCTAACAATGCTCTCTGGAGTGTCTCATTCTTCCAGATGCCCTTTTTTAAATATATTTTCACAGCTCTGCACACAGCTCAATTCTCCTATTTAAACTGAGTACTAACCCTGATGAGAGTTAACCTCCATTAGAGGGCTAGCCAGCTCGCTGCAAATGAACAACGGAGTCATTAAATGCTATAGAAATGTGCACCATTTCCCCCCGCAGCTGACAAGCTTATTAGATGCTAATCAGAAGTCAAAGTTGCCATTGTTTGTAATAATGAATTGAAACACCCTTGGCCACATGACCCGTTCCAGCGTGGCTGTGATCCACCTTCTTAGTGAATTATTTCACAGCCCTCGCTGTGCAGTAATGCCAACTGAGTTTTAAACATGCCAATTTGTTCTCTTCAAGTCAAGGCACCATGCAGAACTAGAGAGGCCTGTTTACATACTGTCAGCTTCCCACATGCCGTGACATCGCATGAACTTTGTGAAGTGGGCTGACAATTTGAATTGGAAAAAGCAAAATTAGAATCAACAATAAAATCATTAACATGCTGAATTGTCTTGGTTTTAACTATTAGAATAGTTCATATTGGTGTGTTCTTTTTCAAATGTATAGCCTACTTTTATTCTAAATAGACTTTTAAAATATTACAAATGTTACCTGAACTTTCTATTTTTCAAAAAAAAAAAATCCTGATAAAATGTACCACAGTGTCAGCAAAAATGGTTTTATATATATAAAATGTTCAATATTAGAATGATTTCTGGAGGTTCATGTGACAGTTATTGTAAAAACCATGTCATGCCATATCATGTGAAAAGTTATTTTAAATTATATAATATATCCCAATATCTTTTTTATCAAATAAATGCAGCCTTGGTAAACATAAGAGATTCAAAAACATTCAAAATGTCTTACTGACTGTACTGTCATTTTCATTTTGTGCATAAAAGCAGCAAAAAAGGGACATTTTAAGTTTTGTCCTTCATTAACTTTCTACCTTTTTCTTATACACACAGCCATTATTGAACATGTGCGTGATGGCTGCATGGTTCGAGCGCTACTTCTGCCCGACCACTATCTGGTGACAGTTATGCTATCTGGAGTCAAGGTGAGCTTCAGTCCTTCTATATGTAACTCTATGAATAAGAAAGAACCAATTTCTTTAGGCAGAACCCATGAGACCCTATATATCTCATGCTTTCCCATTTTCTCATTAGTTCTTCTCTATGTATCTCTTGATGGTTAGCCCTGAGAGATTCTCTCTGGGTTTTCTTTGACCAGACCTGTTCCATGAATTCAGTTGACCATCTTACTGCTTAATCTCACTAATCATGAAAAAATTAACTCCATAGCTGTGATAAATTAAGTGTGTTAGTGGTAGAACTAGAGTTTCCACTCAGTGACTTTTCAAGAAAGGGTTTGCCTTCTTTGTAAAGTATGATTGTACATTGTTTTCTGGGGATTGTTTTTTAGTATGTCCCAGTAGATTTCAGACAATGTATATTTTCTGTAATGCATATGAAAAACCTGTGTCTCCAGTGCCCTACGTTTAAACGGGAGGCAGATGGCAGCGAGATCCCCGAGGCCTTTGCAGCAGAGGCAAAGTTCTTCACAGAGTCACGACTTCTTCAGAGAGATGTGCAGATCATTTTGGAGTCCTGCCCCAACCAGGTCATTCTGGGTACCATCCTGCACCCGGTATGAAGCCACGTCATCCCAGACCAGCTTTCTGATTGATCTTTAATAACTGCAGTTAAACCCAAGCATAGACCATTAAGCTTTTTGGGCGTTCATTTATGCTAGATCCAAAATCTTAAAGTGTGTGAGAGATGGACACCTTAGTGCAGGTTGGAAAATGAATGCACGCAATACAAATGTTTTTTGGGTTTTTTTTGCATTTGAGTACATGTTAGCCTTCAGTCTGTCTGTTGATTTTTGCTTTCAGGACAATACCTGATATAAATGCATCAATATCAATATTTTAAGGTTATCAACAACATTCCACACACAAACCGCAATGACAGTGACTGTCAAAACTAAGTAATTAAGGGAAACGATGCATAACCAATTTTGATACAACAGCATAAGTAATACTAATTAAACTTAAGTAAACATTGGTTCAAGTTCTTTAGCAATTGTTCAAGGCAAGTCAGTTAGAACATTAAAAACATAGAAACATTACAAGCAAAAGAACAAAATAAAAATAGATAAAAGATGGAAAAAAGTATAGATATCTAACAATATAAGGCATTCAAGTAAACTTTTGCAAATTAAGTGAAATACCGGTACTTTTGGCATTCCTAGTGTGAATAATACAGTAAACACTAAGGCTGTAATCAGTAGATCTACAGGTCTAGACTTATGCACATGTTTGTTGTACAGGGCCTTCAATGTCAAGAATTATTCATAAATTTAATTTATTTAATGCAACACATCAGTTCCGCAGGTATAAAGCGTCTTCATGTCATAGTTCTTAATCAGAGTATCAGACACCATCTGTGGTACATTTCACACAATGGGTCTCATTCATGAAACACGAGCAGAACGAATTTGTGTAAATCGTGTGTAAAGTGGTTCTGGCGTAAATTTTCGGATTCATTAAAATGTTCGTATTTTCCAAATGTTAGTTGGTACACAAGAAATCTACACCTGCTCCCAGCCACGTGTAAATAGTGCGCTTAACACCCGAACGTTTTGCTCATTAATAAGGCTGCATTTTAATTCACCTTAATCGGGTACATATTTGCACAGCATTTTGAAAAAATATTATATATAGAAATTACATACGGTTTTTCTTATTATGAGAGCCAGTAATAGCATCTGCGATGGTGGTCCTTCTCCAGTTTGTATACTATTTTTCCGAAGTGAACTAATTAGTTTTTTGCTCTCAAGCTTAATGTCGAACCATTTTCTTCTCACTTCTGGGAATGTTCGATTAAAAGATGAAACTCCATTAACTGCATCTGTAATATGCTGCCAAGCTTCCTTTTTTTTTTAGGACCCGATACGCCACTATGCACGCTTGAAAATAAAATGTGGCGTTTTGAAAAAACTTCTGATAATAAAACTTCAATTTCTGCATCTGAGAATATTTTTTTCATTCGCATTCATGTCATAATATGATGCCCATATATAGTTGTCAGTCGGATTTAATGGGCGGGATTTATGGTAATTGAGAATGAACGTGCACGCGCATCCCATTTACGACTGATTGGAATTCATTAACACACACACACATTTCACTATCACATCTGACGTTTACGAAGTATTTGTTTTCGAGTTTTCGGGAAGGTCTCTTTACGCGCAAATCACTCGCATATTTACTCATATATTTACGAATGTTTCATGAATGAGACCCAATGTGTGAGGCTGTTTTGCTCTTAAACAATATGATGCACATTAAACTGATAACATTAGTAACTGGCACACAAACTTTGCACTGTCTGTATTTTTTTTTCTCGGTTTCTGATATTTCTTTGCTAATTTTAAACCCTGTGTTTGTGTGTGGTCGTTACAGAATGGGAACATCACAGAGTTGTTGTTGAAGGAAGGCTTTGCACGTTGCGTGGACTGGTCAATGGCTGTGTATACCCAGGGTGCTGAGAAACTCCGAGCAGCAGAACGGTCAGTGCTTCCGAGTCGGACAGTTGTCTGCCCTAGTTCGCTATACATTTCAAATATGCCTGACATTTCGACTGCTGGATCTGACAGAGCAGCTTGTTAAGTGCTTTAGACTGTCTCGGGCTGCTCTTACTTCATGTTTCAGCAGAATAGTTTAGCAAATGTGGCAACTTATCACACAGCTGTTCAAGAACACCTGCCCTTATGCCCACCTGCTAGCTTACTGAAGCGTTAGACACAATCGCAATGAAATATGATAGGAACATACAAGGTTGTGTCTTTATTCCAATTAAGTGCACACGGATGTCCTTTATGCAGTGCTTCATTTTGGTAAAATGAATATTTCTCTGTCTAAAACCCTGCAGTTCAGCGAAAGAGCGTAAAGTAAGAATCTGGAAAGACTATGTTGCTCCCACAGCCAATCTGGACCAGAAGGACAGACAGTTTGTAGCAAAGGTAAGTCTTTGTTCTCACTTGGTTTGAAAGAATTTCGGTTTCAATCTGTGCAACCTTAATAGCGACAAACCACAGAATCGTTATACAAGAACCAATGACACAATGCAAACTTTTTTTGTCCAGATTTATTCATTATTTTAAGATGCATGAAACCAAAATAATGAAAATCAAAATGAAGACAAAAAGCTAATTAAAAGCCCTACATTTTTCTTTTCGATGCTCGCGTCACACTTGGATGTAAGCCACAATATGGATTCAATTGTCTGTTGCTACTTTGTTACATTGCTACATTAAAGGGTTAGTTCACCCAAAAATGAAAATTCTGTCATTAATTACTCGCCCTCATGTCGTTTCAAACCCATAAGACTTTCGGTCATCTTCGGAACACAAATGAAGATCTTTTTAATGAAATCTGAGATACTTCTGTCCCTCCATTGACAGCTCTGCAACTGACAATTTGACGCTTCATCATATAAAGTGATCGAGTCTCTTCAGAAAATCTGGACTAAACCGCTCAATTTATATGGATTAGTTTTGCAATCTCATTATGAACTTTTTGAAGCGTCAAAGTGGTAGTTGTGTAGCTGTCAATGGAGAACACAAAACTGGCTCAGATTTTATATAAAAATATCTTCACTTGTGTTCCAAAGATGAACGAAAGTCTTGCGTGTTTGAAACGACATGAGGCTGAGTAAATGATGTCAGAATTTTCATTTTTGGGTGAACTATCCCTTCAAAATAGTTGTAATTGAAAACAAAGTCATGCAACCAACATGCAGATATGTTCAGAAAAATTCTGGAAGTGATCTCAGAGAGGAGCCCTGCAGACCCTCAATACTGTGTGAAGGTCAATAAGTCTCTAAAAATATCAATACATTGTTTTTTTATTTTATTTTTTTAAAATACATTTTATACAAAGCAAGGTTAGTTCTAGTTGTAAAAAATTAAAGAAATTAAGATATGTACATTCACATGTATTCAGGTTATAAGAAACATATAAATATATAAGAATATATAATATATATATAAGAATAAAATGTATTACTACTTTTTACTTTATGGCTACACATGATATTTGAGTCATGACCTTGAAGCTATTATTTCAAAACCATATGAAACTGATATGAATGCAAAGAGTACAATTCTAAGAACTTGGCACATGTTTTTAACCTACATTTCTTTACCTGTTCTTGCCATTGACCCACAAAAAAAATCTGAATGTTACACTACTAATTTCTTGTATAGATGATAATGCAGTTCTGAACTCTTCAAAAGTTCTTCTCGCTGAAGGTCACTGAAACCTGTTGATCTAAAATCAGCCCTCGGGCCCTCCAGACAAACTCTTGATCTCCAAGCGAAACAAGTCTACGTCTAGAACGTCTAAAAATAACATGAGAAGTCTGCAGAGTTTAGGTCGACGCTTCCACACTAGCAAAGCTTGACATTTCACCAGCTGAGACCCAACATGATAACAAATGACCGTCTCTACTCTGTCTGTTCTACAAACTCCTTTATTACAGGGCTTCTGAAGAATATTTGAGCACCGCAGTCTCTTAAAGTGCTGAGTGCGGTTGACATACTCATCTCCCTGACGCCTTGTTCTCTATTGTGTCTGTCAGCGAGGCAGGCCTTTCAGGTCTCAGGTGTTTCATTTCATTTTGCATACTCTGTAAAGTCAGCCTTGGGCCGTCTCAGCGGTTCTGTTCAGCTGCAGTCTTCAGCGCTCCCCTGCTGAATATCTGCTTTCGCTGCCCTGGAATAGAATGCATGAAGAAAGAATAAGGAAGAATAATGGGAACTTTAAGGGTTATTTGCTTTTCTCAAGTTTTGACTTTTAGAAAAACAGTTGAGTCTGAAAGAGACAGATTGAACATGAAATTGACCTGGTTTCTTTCTTAAACTACTGTGCAAAAGTTTGAGGTCGGTAAGATTCTAAAATTACTTTGCTTTTCAAACGACATCTCTTGTGTCATGTAGGTGGCAAACATAGTGTTGACAAATTCCAAACATTATTATTTTAGGCTACTGAGCATATCTCACAATCTTATTAGAGTGGTGCAAGGATGACGTTAGAAACCCGGAAGACTAATTCGCAGCTGGTTCCTTCTACATTTTACAATTTATGTGTAAAATAAAGCCTGTGGTAAACAAAATTTGACTATACTTTGACGTTTTGTTCTACAACTTAAATTACACGCTCCCATAGCGAAAATGTGAATTTTGAAGCATTTGTTCATTTTTGAAAACTTAAGTTTCTAACAAGTTACTAGATAAGACACCTTGGGGTGTGAGTGTGTGCAGTGCAACTAAATGTCAAGTTATGTTTACCACAAGCTTTATTTTATTCACAAATGAAACAAAAATACCATTTTAAAACACCATGGGAAAATTTCGGGTTCTGACGTCATTCCTGCACCACTCTATTCCCAATCGATAAAATCAAATCTTTTTTGAATATTTTGTTTCATTTGGAAATGCATCGCATTATTCTGGTAAAATGGCCCGTGAATGTGGTTTCATGTTGACTTGAAGATCAAAGGAGAATTTGTAAGGTTACCTTTTGCAGTTAGTGATATTGCCACATGAGTAAGGTTTGTTAACTTTGTTGAAACCGCTGCCGCCTGGATTTAATTGATATGTTGACACTGTGTGCTCTCTCCTAAGTCAGCAACTGTGCTTTTGCGGAAAGTTTATTCATTCTCCTTAAAGTAAGGTTGTTTCACTGAACTTCAAGACCTTTAAAATATTCATGCTTGGCCTTTGGTTATGTAAAGGTGTTGCTCTGCAATCTGCTTACAGAATTAGTTTCAAAATCCGCAGACACAAAATGTGTTTTTTTTTGCCTGAGTCAGAAAATACCAGAAGTGAAGAATAAAACATTTATATGAGCTTTAGCTTGCCTCAGATCTCTTTGAGCTGGGAGAGAAAGATATACTTTGAAATTGTGTGCGAGTGTGTATTTAAGAGAGAGTGTGTGTGTGTGAGAGAGAAACTCAACAGAAAAAGCTACTGACAATGGCAAGTATTTGTAAGCTGTTTCTGTGTCCTGGCATACAGGTCTAGCTGTTGTAATTGGCTTGCATTTCCTGGCCTTCAGATGGTTTTTAGAAAGAGTTTAATAATAATAACAGTAATAGTATTAGTAATAATAGTATTATTATTCAACAACACCAATAATTATGTTTTAATTATATTTTTCTATTAGAAGAATTGTTAATTTCAGCTAAGGTTGCTTTGTTTTAATTTAATTGTAAACCATAAACTTGAACCTACGGAGCCCCTAAAGGGACCTTTGCAAAAATAAAAATATAATTTACTGACTTTCACGTGCGCACGAGAAACTATCGGGGGCTCCGTATAAACCATATGTAGAAAAAAAAATGTAAATATGATATTTTCAGGCCAAAAAGATAATTATATATATATGGTATATACACTAACGTTCAAAAGTTTGGGGTCAGTAAAATATATAGTTTTGGATGAGGATGCATTAAATTGATCAAAAGTGACAGTAAATACTTTTTTAATGTTACAAAAGATTTCAATTTCAAATAAATGCTTTTTTTTGTTTCACTTTCTATTTATCAAAGAATCCTCAGAGTATCACGGTTTTAAAAAAGACCATTTACCAGCAGAACGGTTTTTAACATTAATAAGAAAAGTTTTCAGAATGATTTCTGAAGGGTAATGTGACTGAAAACTGGAGTAATGGTGCTGAAAATTCAGCGCTGCCATCACAGCATTAAATAAAACAAAAAATATGTATTAAAATAGAAAAGTTATTTTAAAGTGTAATATTTCACAATATTACGGTTTTACTGCTTTGATCAGCATAATATAATTCTTTCAAAAACAGAAATAGCTTATCGACTCCAAACTTTTGAACACCAGTTTAACATGATAATCTTTCAGTCCTGTGTCATGTATCAAAAGCACCATGCCATTACCATGTTATATCATTACTATAGTACCTTTTTTTTTTTTTTTTTTTGATGGTTGATGTTTAAAAAAAAAACATTTGTACCAAATATATAAAAATATAATATTTACTGGGCACAACATCATACTCCTTATGATGTAGTTCTAGTGATGATCTGTAGGTGGCAGTAGCTCCCTGTCGTGTTCAATGGGCTGCAGTACCAGAGTGAGTCATGAATATGGGCTGAAGATCTCTGTTGGTAGCTTGCGGTGAAGTGCCTTGCATATGTGACTGCTAATGAAACGACAAAATGTTCGCCTTACAGTTCCCAGTTCTGCTCAACTACTTCCACACCGAAACACCCCCCACTAATTTGCTCAGGTGACCTTGTTGATTTGGCACTGAGTGTGCTTAGGAATACATAAGCAGCGCACACGCATAGACTGACATTCTCTGCTGTATCACTGCCGAGCCGAATGCTTCTGCAAGTGATTCGTTTAATTTCCTCTCTGAAGATTCAGTTCAAAGCCTGACGATCTATCAGTCTGTGCCGTAATTCTGCTCATATCATTCTTCTTTCCTGTTCATGTCCCTCTGAAGACTGTAATTTTGTCTTCATTTGCTCAGATCACATAATGCATGTTTTTGAAAGCATTCCTCTGCTTGTTCAGGTCTGGTTATATATGATCCATTACCCCGTCATCTTCCACATCACTGACTCCTCTATTAAATAACTCTGAGTTGATGATCATATAAGATGACATCGGATATGATATACTCAGGCGGGATTCTAAACATCAGAGCTTCTGTGACATTTGTTGTCTTGTGCGGATGGTCCACGTACGCGATTGGATGGAGACTGCACATGTAACGCATGATTCCTCTCAACTGTAATGTAACATGATTCTGTCACAAAACCTGGATGTCAAAGGTAGCACATGCCAGTTTTAACCTCAGGAATCTCTTCACATCACTGGGGAAATTAAATATGAATTGTTATTATTATTATTATTTTGATTGAATCGTGGCTTCTTTGGGATGGACCCCCTAGCATCATGGTGCCAACTTCTGTGCGTTCAAGCATCACTCACATTTTCTTTAAAAAAACAAATATTTCTCTTTATTTTATAAATAAACCAAGTTTATTTCTCCTTATTAAATGTCCATATGGGCAATTAATTCCTTTTTTTTTTGGTAGATCTAAAAAAAACTTCTAAGTGCTCGATTTAATCCTCTCCCTGTCTCTTTTCCTTTAAGCAAAATTGACCGTTTCACTACTCTCTCCCTCTCAGCTCTTTTGTGTTCCCTGTTGGCTCGCTTTCATTGTCTTATGTGAGTGAAATGGTGAAGTTATGGTGGTAGGATGAGACAATCCGAGAGAGGAGGCATGTTCTTTTGAGAACAGTGTGGGAGAAGTGTTTTGTTTGCAGCTGTTTGCTTTTGTGCCGCAGAAGGCTCGTGGTGGGGTACAGTAACGTTTCTCTGGCAACAAGTGAGTCTCTCCCGTCCTCCAAGCGGAGCTTGCTCGCCACCTCTCGTTCTTTTTTACACCTACTCGTGCGCTCTCTCGATAACACTCCTGAATGTTAGGGTGACTGACAAATATTTGACAAATAAACAGGAATAATTAAAATGGGAACATTGACCACTGTAGGCAGTTTGAGTGTGAAAAAGGTGCTAAATGTTACAAATGCAGTGCTTTAATTGCTGTAGATGTGCCATTTTTTTCATGTTTTGACTGGCAGTTGCTTTTAAGGTGTTTACACGTTCAAGTCAATGATCAGCCAATGTCGGCACACTGGTGAGAGAAAACACTCTGATTGGGTGTTCAGCTTAGCAAACTGAGTGTGACGTCATATTACAACTGTTGGCAGTGCCTGTAGAAAATTGTGTGCTCAGTCTTGTGGTTCCAAAATCAGTGTTCTCAATCAGTTTTTTTTTGTCCCTAAAACAGTTTGGCATGTCTGTTGTGCTTCAAAATGGACAAAAACATCCAAATATGGACAATAAACCATAAAATATTCAAATATGAGGTCAAGAGTGTAGGTTGAACATCAATGGTATCAAATGTCATTGGTTCTTGAAAATAACGTCAAGCTTGCGGCAAGAAAATTATGCCAGAATTTTCATTGATAACTTGACCTTCCTTTCTCCTTTCTCTGCATTATTTAATTTTCTTTTTGCCCTCTTCTTTACAGGTCATGCAAGTCATGAACGCAGATGCCATCGTGGTGAAGCTGAACTCTGGGGAGTGTAAGACCATCCACCTGTCCAGTATCAGGCCCCCAAGGCTAGAAGGCGAGGTACGAGTTAATGCACGTCTGTCCTTGGATATCCCTGTCACTGAGGCCATTACTGAATCCACTGGGTGCCAGCAAAGTGCTGATGTGATGGTTTTTTGCTCTCTCCTCCATTTCTTAAAAGCGCCGATCTCCTCCCTTCATGCATCTTTCACACTCAGATCTCAGAGCAATGTCTTCACTGGACACCAGGGGGAGCTAGACAGACAGAAGCCCACCGGCTCTCCTCCCCTCCACTCGCTCTGACACACCAGTGGTGCACTGCAGCCAAAAGCCCTATAGATCTGCTCCCATAATGAGCACACGCTCTCTTCGAATCTCTCTTCCTCATCTATTAATGTCATACGCATCCTCTCAATCCAATGCAATTCTCAAATGCTCATTTTTGATTGGCTAGATGTTAACAAATTAATATGGAAGCATCATTTTGCGGGGCTGCATATGCACACACATTTTTGAGGTCACCAAACGCTCAGAAATGTGCTTGTCTGTTTCTTATTCACGCCCAAATAAGGCTGTTAATGAGAGTTGATGTGTAATGGGTGCTTTGTCTAGGCTAAGTGTGTGCGTATCAGCAAGCTATATTTTCAACTTAGTGGTTTAAATTGGAGTGTGAACATCTCGCTGCAATTAGCCACTCTCTTCCTGACCCCTGACCTCCTGTAATAAGACACGATGATTCAGCATGTTGGTAAAAAAAAAAAACTAGCTTTGGTTTTGATTTAGCAAATTAGACATGTAGTTTATTAGGGAGGACTTTCGCTCTACCGTTGCATGATCATTTTTGTTTTGGGTTCTTGTGCTTTTGATGGATGCAGCAATATGTTTGAAATCTTTAATGAAGTTTGTGATTATTTTTAAAGGAGGCTTTCAGAAAGTCGCAATTTGTCATGCACATGTAAACAGAGAGCAGGAATGCGGAGCTGTGGGTCGGTATCTATGGATACGCGGCTGCAAGCTTTCGGATCACAGCGTGTTTCTATCCTGGCAGCTTAAAGATGGCTTTAATCAGATCAGAGATGATTACAAAACAATAAAGATTACGGATGTATTTAGATCTCATACGTGCTTCGGAGGAATGAGACGAACCAGAGAGCTTTTAAAAATGGATTTCTTTAGATTTTGTAATATTTTGACAAGTACATTTTTCTCGAAAGAGAAACCTGGAAGCTTGATTTAGACAGAGAAATTGATCTTTTGGATTTATAGTATCTTCTGTCAACCATTTTAATGAGGTGATGTTAGCGTCATTTCAGACTGTTGCTTTGTTCAGTTTACAGCATTTCTGCTTTTATAATCTCTTTAAATGTGTTTGGTAAGGTAAAAATCACTATTGTCGGATGTAAAGGGATAGTTCACCTAAATTAAATTGTGATTTACTCACCCACATGATGTTCTAAACCTGTATGACTTTCTTCTGTGGAACATACACTGATATTTTGAGAAATATCTATTTTTTTCAATGGTAACCAAACCACCTGCTTCAAAATATCTTGAAGTTGAAGGGGGTTTGAAGATGAATGTTAGTTGAATTTACCATTTCAAATTTTTGAACTATCCCTTTAAGGTTAGAGATGTTATCAAACCACTGACTAACAACTGCATAACAATGACCTGGAAAGTATCCACAACACTCATGCATCATGGCGAGTTTGGCACGGACAAAGCACCACTTATTTTTCCCTCAGAAAATGTAAATCCGGTTTAATTCCTGTCTTTTCGGTCTGCGGAAGGTAGATCAGATGGCAGTGAGCTAGTGTATTAAGCAGCATGATGTAATTATCATAATACCATGGTGACCAACCGGCAGTGTTTGGTTGCATGCATGTCTGTCTGACACCTATGGCATCTGCCTCACTCCACAGATAGTCGTGACTAAGCAGCACTTTGTGCGTCTCTTAACGAAACTAGTTTCAGACCAGCTTCCACAATGCTATAACGTCTATCGAATGATCTAAAACTAAATTAATGTAAGCTTTAGAGATGTTTAAGCACATTATAGTGACTATACTGCTTATTTCACATTATAATTTTTTTTTTTTTTTTTACTTTTAAATTGATAATAGTCGACTAGAAGAGGTTTAGTCGACTAAAATGTTAATAGAAGAGTGCATGTCCTGTTCATTCATTCCCCCACCTAAATTTTTTGTCAGTACTAAGACTCGAATCCACGATCTTCGGGTTACAAGTCCGACTCTTATCTATTAGGCCACAACTGCCCCAAATATTGTCATTTAATTATTATTTCATGATATGGGTAATTTTAAATGTCAGTGAAATTTCATAATTATTGATACTTCAGCAAAAACTAATACTAGGTTAATTAATGTAAGTAAAAAGTCCTCTAAATAGTTACAGAAGACAAGTAAACAGTCAGCAATAAAATAAGAACAAAGAAACTAATTGCAAACGAAAAATACAACACAACAAAAATACAAATGAAATAAACTGTGGTTTTTCAGGAAGATGTACTAAGTGGTATTCAGATAAGTAGCCTACAACAGAAATGAAATAAAGTAATCAAATGTAAAATAACACTGCTGTATATATTAGATATAGACTCATCCTTATTTAAAACTACAAAAATGATTAATTCAAGAGCAGAAAGTGATTTTTATCTTTGTCTTTCCTTGTTTGATTAACATTAATAACTGAAGTAGTCATTTGGCTGCACAGATCCATTATACCGGTATACCGTTACACGCACGTTTCAAACACGCTTTCTCAAATGTTTACATTGACCTGAGACATAACCGACTGTGTTTACGAGGATACTTACCAAAACGGGATTTCGACAGATTTGTGCGCAGGCTATTTGACCGTTTATGCGCGAATCTGAAGCCCATAGTATACTTGGCTTATGCGCGTTACGCCCCGTCTCGGAGCGTGCGCACAGGAGACAGCCTAGGGAACAGCGTCTCTTTCGCGGCTTAATACACTTTTAATTACACTGTTTGATATCAAGCACGTCCCGCAGTTTAGCAACAGTAGACTGCATTTTACAACACTCACTCACTTCGGCTGATTTGGATGTTAAGTTTGGCTTAGGGAGGGACAAAAGTGCACCGAAAGTGCACTGGACTGAATGTGGTAGTGGCACAATAAGCACTTTACCTCAATTATCCTGTTTTCATAATCGTTGGAAGCTGAAATCAAAATACGATTAATTGCACAGCCCTAATTTTTTCAACACATTGCTAAGCATTACTTTTGCCAGTACTTTGTGGCAAGCTTTATGCATGCACTTGGGAGCGGAATAGGCTATATTACGCCTATAGCTATATATTAAATGCTCATTATGGTTTAGTATTCTCTTCAGTATATATTTAAGTAATTAAATTGAATATGAATCTGTGATTAGTTGACTAATGGCTTAAATGAACGTCTACTAGTCGACTAGAAAAATCTTTATAGTCGGGGGCAGCCCTAATATAAATGCACTTCTCAATTAGATGCAGTTTTTCCCATAGGCAGGTTGAGGGTACATTTATCCTTTAAAACCAACCAGATAAAGGCATCTTGGTAGAAAGGATTCTGATGTTGCCTTCTCCCTTTTATCCTGCCTGTGACGGTAGCATTTTTCCGGCACAGCCATGTTGTAAAGGTATTGATGTGTTGGAGGTACTTCCTCTTTTGAAACCCGCACTCCTGTTCAGGTTATTGACTGTATCTTCTGTAGTGCATCTCTGCACCAGATGTTCTTGCAGTATGTTTTCCCTGCTTGGCTGCGCACTTTGACGAGGGTGAAAGAGAGAGAGTAGTGTGCAAAGTTGTTCCTCTAAAGCATTCGAGTCATTGCGGTCATGCTGCCCTTGAATGTGAGGTTTCATCAATAACGGTCCTGGTATGGTAAATCTGACCTTTGACCCTTTACTTCTATGGTCTGAATAAAAGTCAGTTGGGAGAAACTCAAACATTATGTGTACCAAACAATTAAACTTCATTAATAACATCTGTTCTTTCTCCTTGGTTCTAAGGGACCTGATGGAAATCAGGTTATGATTTGTTTTGTTGAATTCTACAAAATGGTTAATGTAGTGTTTTGAGGAATCATCCTAGAGAAGAAAAGTTAGAGAAATTGCTAATGCTCATGTTTTGTTTTATTCACTTCATTTAACATGATGACCCTCTGCAAATGTCGATAGTCATTCAAGATCTGTTCCTTTGCCGTCTAAAAGGGACAGGTACCTATATTTTTCCTCCTTAATCTAATGCTACATTAACCTTGACATGATGTTACTTAACTAACGAGATCTCTGGTAATCTTTTCATCAATCTAATCAATTTTGGCTCGCAAGTCTCCAATAGTTTAGCACACGACAACTTTTAAATTGGTATCGTAATTAATTTAAACTGCGTATGTTCGAACAACAGCTGTACAATGGTTTCAGAACAGCTGCAGTCATTTTTTATCAGTTACTCTTTTGATTGCGTTTATCAAAATGGCTCTCGGTAATGGCTTTCTGTTTGTGCACATGCACTCGTGTCATCAGCACTCGTGTGCTCGCTCACATTCAGAGGCAAATTTTAGTGTTTGACAGTTCACAACATGATTGTATACAGTTAAGCGGTGATGTCACATTACATGCACTCTCAAGGGTGTGGTTACATTTTCGCAGGCTAAAAAAAGTCCACTGTCAATAGTGTAGCAGCGTATGAAGCAACACTCACACAGAAGTCACTTTCAAACCACACAGCTTTTCAGTGAATTCGCATGACCAACTTGAAAATGGGCAAAATCTGTGGGAACATTTCCGCTCTCTGATTGTGCAGATTCCTATCGAAGGACTCGTAAATGTGATGCAAATGCAAGGGTTTGCTAAAGTGACGCTGCCAACTGCAAACAAAAGTCCAGGTCCATTTGTGCATCTAAATTTTCAGTTCACAGTATTCCCGCTCGGTTTTAAAATTGCCCCAGCTCTTGCACATTCTCATCCTTCAAAGCCTACGTCAAAGCTTCCTCTAGTGTGTAGGCTCCTAACGGCCAATAGGAACATATTTCA